AAAATTAATACTAATTATCAATAAAAATACCTTACCAACTATTATATTATTATTTTTATAAATAAAAAATTTAGTTGAATATAAATTATAGTAAAAAGTATAAATACAAGTAATTAATAAAAGTTCTTACAATCTATTATAATATTATTATATTATTAATTAATTTTTTTAAATAAAAAATTTAGTTGAATTTAAATTACAATAAAAAGTATAATTAAATATTAATAATCAATAAAATAATTTACCATCTATTATATTATTAATTATTAATTATTTTTTAAATAAAAAATTTAATTATGTTTAAATTATAGTAAAAGTACAATTAAATACTAATAATCAATAAAAATAACTTACTCCCTTTAATAGTATTTTTGATTTTTAAATTAAAATTTAGTTAAGTATAAATTATAGTAAAAAATATAATTAAATACTTATAATCAAAAATAATTTACCATCTATTATATTAATAATTTTTTTTTAAATAAATATATAGTTTAAATTATAGTAAAAAGTATAATTAAATATAATTAATAAAATTAACTTACTCTCTTTAAAAGTATTTTTTATTTTTAAATTAAAAATTTAATTAAGTATAAATTATAGTAAAATATATAATTAAATACTAATAATCAATAAAGATAACTTACCATCTATTATATTATTAATTATTAATTATTTTGTTAAATAAAAATTTAATTCAGTTTAAATTACAGTAAAATGTTAAATACTAAATATAACTTACTAACTATTATATTATTAATTATTAATTATTTTTTAAATAAAAAATTTAGTTGAGTTTAAATTACAATAAAAAGTATAATTAAATACTGATAATCAATAAAAATAGCTTACAATCTAAATATTAATTTTTTTTTAAATAAAATTTAGTTGAGTTTAAATTACAACAAAAAGTATAATTAAATACCGATAATCAATAAAAATAACTTGCCTTCTATTATATTATTAAAATTTAAATAAAAAATTTAGTTGAGTTTAAATTACAGACAAAAGTATAATTAAATACTAATAATTAATAAAAATAACTTACCATCTATTATATTATTAATCATTAATTATTTTTTTTAAATAAAAAATTTAGTTAAGTTTAAATTACAGTAAAAAGTATAATTAAATACAGATAATCAATAAAAATAACTTACCATCTATTAAGTTATTTATTATTTTTTTAAATAAATATTTAGTTGAGTTCAAATTACAGTAAAAAGTCTAATAAAATACTAATAATCAATAAAAATAACTTACAAGCTAAAATTTAATTATTTTTAAATAAAAAATTAAGTTGAGTTTAAATTACAGTAAAAAGTATAATTAAATACTAATAATCAATAAAATTATCTTACTATCTATTATATTATATTAATGATTTAATTTTTTAAATAAAAATTTTAGATTACAATAAAAAATATAATTAAATACTAATAATCAATAAAATAACTTACAAGCTAAAATTATAATTGTTTTTTAAATAGAAAATTTATTAAATTAAATTACAGTAAAAAGAATAATTAAATGATAATAATCAATAAAAAATAACTTACTATCTATTATATTATTAATTATTGATTATTTTTTTAAATTAAAAATTCAGTTGAATTTATATTACAGTAAAAAGTATAATTAAATACTTATAATCAATAAAATAACTTACCTTCTATTATATTATTAATTATTTTTTTAAATAAAAAATTTAGTTGATTTTAAATTAAGTAAAAGTATAATTAAATACAAATAATCAATAAAAATAATTACCATCTATTATATTATTAATTATTAATAATTTTTTTTAAATATATTTTTAATTGTGTTTAAATTACAACAAAAAGTATAATTAAATACAGATAATCAATAAAAATAACTTACCATCTATTATATTATTAATTATTTTTTAAATAAATATTTAGTTAAGTTTAAATATAGTAAAAAATATAATTAAATATAATAACTTACTCCCTTTAGAAGTATTTTTAATTTTTCAATTAAAAATTTAGTTGAGTATAAATTACAGTAAAAAATATAATTAAACACCAATAATCAATAAAAATATCTTACTATCTATTATATTATATTAATGATTTTTTAAATAAAAATTTGAGATTACAGTAAAAAGTATTATTAAATACTGATAATCAATAAAATAACTTACAAGCTAGAATTTTAATTATTGTTTTAAATAAAAAATTTATTAAATTTAGATTACAGTAAAAAGAATAATTAAATACTAATAATCAATAAAAATAATTTACCATCTATTATATTATTAATTATTGATTATTTTTTAAATCAAAAATTTAGTTGAATTAAAATTACAGTAAAAAGTATAATTAAATGCAGATAATTAATAAAAATAACTTACCAACTATTGTATTATCAATTATCAATTATTTTTTAAATAAAAAATTTAGTTGAGTTTAAATTATAGTAAAAAGTATAATTAAATACTGATAATTAATAAAAATAGCTTACAATCTAAAATTTTAATTAATTTTTTAAATAAAAATTTAATAGAATTTAAATTACAGTAAAGTATAATTAAATACTAATAATTAATAAAAATAACTTACCTTCTATTATAGTATTCATTTTTTAAATAAAAAATTTAGTAATTTTAAATTATAATTAAATACTAATAATCAATAAAAATAACTTACTCCCTTTAGTATTATTATTGATTTTTAAATTAAAAATTTATTTAAGTATAAATTACAGTAAAAAAATATAATTAAATACTGATAGTCAAAAATAACTTACCATCTATTATATTATTAATTATTTTTTTAAATAAATATATAGTTGAATTTAAATTATAGTAAAAAGTATAATTAAACATAATTAATAAAATTGGCTTACTCCCTTTAGAAGTATTTTTGATTTTTCAATTAAAAATTTAGTAAGTATAAATTATAGTAAAAAATATAATTAAATACTAATAATAATCAATAAAAATAACTTACCAACTATTATATTATTAATTATTAATTATTTTGTTAAATAAATAATTGTATTTAAAAAGTTTAATTAAATACTAATAATAACTTACTAACTATTATATTATTAATTAATTATTTTTATATAAGAAATTTAATTTTGTTTAAATTACAGTAAAAAGTATAATTAATTACTGATAATCAATAAAAATAGCTTACAATCTAAAATATTAATTATTTTTTTAAATAAAAAATTTAGTTGAATTTAAATTATATAATAAAAAGTATAATTAAATACTAATAATCAATAAAAATAACTTACAAGCTAAAATTTAATTATTTTTTTAAATAAAAAATTTAGTTGAGTTTAAATTACAGTAAGAAGTATAATTAAATACAAATAATCAATAAAAATAACTTACCATCTAATATTATTGATTATTAATTAATTTTTTTAAATAAAAAATTTAGTTGAATTTAAGTTATAGTAAAAGCTTAATTAAATACTAATAATCAATAAAAATAACTTACAATCTAAAATATTAATTATTTTTTTAAATAAAAAATTTAGTTAAGTTTAAATTATAATAAAAAGTATAATAAAATACTAATAATCAATAAAAATAACTTACAAGCTAAAATTTAATTATTTTTTTAAATAAAAAATTCAGTTGAATTTAAATTACAATAAAATGTATAATTAAATACTAATAATCAATAAAAATATCTTACAATCTATTACATTATTAATTATTAATTATTTTTAAAAATAAAAATTAATTTGAATTTAAATTACAGTAAAAAGTATAAATACTGATAATTAATAAAAATAACTTACCAACTATTATATTATTAATTATTAATTATATTTTTTAAATAAAAATTTAGTTGAGTTTAAATTACAGTATAATTAAATACTGTTAATCAATAAAAATAACTTACGATCTAAAATATTAATTATTTTTTTAATAAAAATTCAGTTGAGTTTAAATTACAGTAAATAGAATAATTAATACTGATAATCAATAAAATAACTTACTCCCTTTTAATATTTTTTAATTATTAATTTTTTTTTTTTTTTTAGATTTTTTAGATAAAAAAAATTTAGTCAACATAAACAATATAAAAATAATTACTTTTAGTAATTTATAATAATTATTATTATTTAAAGTAAAATAAATTTATAATTGATTTATTTAATAAATAATACTTACGAACTGTAATATTTTAAGTAAAGTATAATTTAAATTTTATAAAAATGTAATTATATAAAAATAACTTACCAACTAACATGCAATTAAAAAATTTTTTAAATAAATTATGTTTAAATTGCAATATAGAAAAATTAAAAATAACTTACTCCCTATGATATTAAATATTGAATAATTAAAAAGGTTAATTATATAATAAGTTAAGATATATAAAATTAAATAGCTTACAAGCTATAAAATGTAAATTTTAATTATTAAAAAATTATTAGTAAATATATAAATGCTCATTAAAATTCATGTTGCTAATAATATAAATTCCATTACCATTTAAATCTTTGCTGAAAATTTGATATTTTTTTTTTAATTAGAAAATAATTCTTAAATTTAATCCTTAACATAAACTAACATTATACTCACTTATTAACTACTTCAATAGCATTTAACGTCCATGTATCGTTTGCTTTGATTTCTAGTAATTTGTATAAATCTGCAAGTGATTCCTCATATTTTTTCATTATAAAAAAAGTTTCTTCTCGATATCTTAATGCAAATGTATTATTTTCCTCAAACTCTAGCAACTTTATCAAATCTGAAAGTGCTAGTTCATATTCACCTATGACAAAATAAAGTTTTCCTCGGTACTTTAATATGTGTTTAGCATCTGATGATTGTTTTAAATCTGCAAATCTAATAATCTGTTGACTTATTAATTTGTCATTATATGGATTAAGAATTTCAGCCCAATTCTCCTTTAAAGATTCATCAATATCATCATCATTCATCACTAAAAAATAATTATTATTAATACAGAAAATAAAGAAAAAAATAAACTAAATAAGTATACCTGTGTATTTGAACTTTTTATAGCCAAAGTTTGCTCCGATAGATCCACCTGGTGACAACATTCCAACACAAGGATACAAAGCTTTTTCTAAATCTCGGAATGCAATACCTTAAAAATACAATAGAAATAAAGTCTTTATTACTTAAATAACCAAGCATTTGCAATATGATAATAGCTACCTAGATTCACCCCGTTTCTTGTATAAAATACCGTATTATTTCTGTAGTTTAAACAGCACCCGATAGTATCACCGGTCATAAATTCTGTTCCATATGGTTCGCCATAATTTTCAAAATGCAAGTTTCCATTATCACCATGATAACCCCATGAGCAATTTTCCCAGCCTACAATATAAATAATTCAATAAATAATTTATTTAACAAATTAAGCTGATAAAAAGAAGAGTAAAATTACCTGGCATTTTATTTAGGCCAGCTGATTTTGTGCAAAACCCGATTCCAATCTTCCTATGGAATTGAAAAATAGAATAATCGGCAAATTTTAAATATTCAACTTATATAGCAGTAAAAACTGTATTCCAAAGTTTTACAATATACCCATTTTGCCCTATATCTATAATGTCAACTTCAAAATAAAATAATCCGCATTGTTCAGGAATTGGAAAATCTGCTCGAATTGCAACACAGTTTTCTTCTCCACTTAGACCTTTATTATGCAAGAATAAGCGATTCCATACGAAGTAAATTGTAATAGTTATACAACATGAAATGTAATAAACTCACCTGTATAAGTCACTATAAGCTTGTCAGAATTAAACTTTAAAAGATTACGTCCATCATTAATATCCCATGCGGTTGGTGACCCTATTAGAAAGAATTATAATAGGGTTTATTTAATGTATGCTTTTGAAAGTGTTGCTAAGTTAATTAATTATTTTTATTTATATTTTTATTTTTTTTATTTTTTAATAAAAAAAAAAAAAATATTAAATTAAAATATTATTATTGACTTAAAACAAATAAATGTCCATTACCATCTAGCTCTCTTAATAAAGGAGCATAAGAATAATCTGAAACTGGCTCTATTATAATTTATTTATTTGAGAAAATTCGAAATTAATTAAGGATATAATCATAATCTAGAACCACCGCTTAGGACCGCTTAACATCCTACTTCATACCTTTTATTCCTTTTTTATGTTTGATGAAAATATTTTTTAATTTTTTCATTACACTTTCATCTTTATTGTTAATATCAGACATTGTTATAAATTACAAGAAAAAATTTTCAAAGAAAAAGAATGTAAGTGCGACATATTGAAGACCTTACCACAAGGAAACAAGTACGTTTATGGCGGATGTTACAAATTGTAAATGCTCATTCGTTACCGATTAATTATGTAATATATATAACATGTCACACAGTCGTGATTCTTGTGAACCGTTCAAAAGTCGGTATTTCTTACGACATAATACCTTAAATAAAAAAGACATTTTAAACAAATGTCTTCCGAAATACTTATTAAAGTCCAAGGTCAGAATAGATATTATATCATTAGTCATGATGGAAAATATGCTGTCACAGGTATAATAGTGTAATCTTATTTTAAAATTTTTCATACCATTTTTATTACCTCTAAGAAAAAAAGATGACGAAAGTTCTGAACAAGATGTTTCAAATGAAATCATGAGTTTATATAAATATTCATCAGGATACATCAAAAGATTTTGGAACCACTATTTATTGTCTTAAATTTAAAGATGATGCAAATGAAGCTTACAATAAACTTTGATGTAATTATAATAGATCATCAGGAATTTGTAGATTTGTGATCGATAAGGATCTGAAGGGAAAGCAAAAGTTTGAAAATTATGTTGAATCAGATTATTTTTTAAAAAAAAAAAATCTTATAGCTTTAAATATTAAAGACGATAAAAATTTTAGTGACGATGATTTAGAGAAATTTAATTGTATAGAAATCGTCATGAATGGATTTAAAGATTCAAAAGATTGCATAGATCAACTCCTTTCACATTTGATATAGTTAGTAGTACCAGTCGTGACAAATTTTGAAGTCGTTAGAGACTTTTCAGTCGACTCAGCCGTCGACAGAGTCGAGACTCTCATTTGAAATTAGCGACCATAATTGTATCATTAATAACTTAATATTTATCAAAAATTTTTAAAATTTAATTAATGTTGATAATTATAAGTTTCATCATAAATAATGTTGACAAGAATCCCATTTGACTAAAATTTGAAGTTTTATTTAATTAAAAATTTCACAATATTCTGACATTATATCAAATTTGGAACAGCGACTCAGTCATGGCCCAGTCATTGAAAATTCCGAAGTCGACTCTACTTGATTTTTGCAGAGTCGACTCAGTCGTCGACTCTAACACCAACGGCTGGTGCTACTAGATATAGTTTATGATTTTAGGAGAAATGAAATTGGAAACTAGTAAAAAATTCGTGATGATGATAGAAAATATAATGAATAGGGATGGTAACGGTCGGTCATAGTTGGTTAACGGTCGGTCAAAGGCCTTTGACCGACCGACCGGTTCGGTTGACCGTTTAGAAAAAATAATTTAATTTTTTTTTACTTTAAAAAATCTTATATAATGTATTTTTTTTAAAAATTTTTTTTAGGTTTCATTTAATTATCCGACATGCAGCAAGTATGTGATCGAAAACCGAATAAAACGATCGTGAAATTTCAGAATTTATTTCGATGGTGTCACTGAAATATGACATTGCTGATTTGTGTAATAGTCATTTCTCAAATAGTCAATAAGGTGTCTTTATGTTTTTCACATATAAATTTGTTAAATGGAAAGTTTAACTATGTAAAGTATAATCTCTTACTAATAATTATGTTTAGGGGATTAGCTAAACACAATCAAATAAATAAATAAATTTTTTTTTGTTTATGAAACAGGATTATTATAATTATTAATATTATTAATATTACTAATAAAAAATATTGTTCTGGTTGTTGCATATACGCACTAACCGCCACAAATTAATGAATGATCAAACGCATTTAATTAAATTATAGTATACTAGTAGAAAATCTAGGTGTAAATTACATGTAGATGAGTTCAGAAAATTCGTAATAAATTCGGCAAGTCGCGATAACATGTTATGTTGCGAGATTTTTCATCTTCAACCAAATTTTTTTTGACATTTAATTCCAACAGGAAAGACCCTTGAGAGAATTAAAGGAGATGATGACCTCGTGATCAGCATTTCGTCCGTCGTCATCAACGAAAATCCGAAAAAAAAAAATGCCGATGACTTTTATTAATCAAATATTTTTATTAAAATATTTAATTTCTACTTTAATCTGTCATCTACTCAATACTTGTTACTTTCAACTAGTTTTTTACAAATACTTAATTTAATTAAAATAAAAATAAGGAAAACTTATGGTGCAGTAGCGACGCAAATTAGCATTCTGCAAACAAGTAAACATGTTAGCAATTGAATGATATTTATATTTTTACAAATTAATTGCCGATTAGTTTCCTATAAATCTTCGGCAAATACACTTTCTGAGTCCAAATCATCACCTTCAAAGGTTCTAAAATCAGGCGTAATAGTTTTATTGCTGAGTAAATTAATTAGGCGGTTTTACTCTATGATTTTCTAAAGCCGCTAGTTACCAATTTGATGGGGTATTCAATAGTAATCAACGGAAAGTTGCGCTGTAGTCAAAGTCTATTTTAATAGCTGTTGCCACTGTCATGTGATACCAATTTTTTTGTTTATGCATCTCGTTAAACATTAAAAATTTTTTTTTAAAAATTTATTAGTTATATATTGGCTATAAACGTGAACCTGCCATCAATTTCTTTTTCCAGACTGAGGAGAGACGTGTACTTTAATTGAAAGCGATGTTATTTTTTTTATAAAAAAAAGGTAAAATAAATTTCTAATAAGGAATCATATGCTTGGTTATTATATTTGTAAGTAACTCTGACGGAACAATTTTTTTTGACTTCGTACTATTTGTACGATCTAAAATTTGAAAATCACATGTTGAAAAAAAAATATTTGGCATTTGGTAAAAATCAATGATAACGTCCATTTAAGTATATCTAATAAAGGTCTTATTGTCTTGAACAATGTATGTGTGATCGTGTGAAGCATCCATATTTTTATTATCATTTTATCGTATCCTTCGAACCTTTAACACGATAAATTACTCAACCAAACTCCAATCAGACAATAAAGTACTCGCTTCTCAAATCTTTAGTTCAAAGATTTTTGATGCAATGATTTACATACTACGCAAATTACGTTACAGATAGCATGATTGCTGTAATGAATGACTAGTTCCTTCCAATTGCTTTTATTAGACTTTGTCAACCACAATTCAGTTAACTGTTATTTGTGTTTATTAGCGTGATATTGATATGTCCGTATCTCAAAAATCTGGATCAACGGTGTGGTAAGTAAAAATTGGGGATAGGAATCATAACAGAAAGGCAAGTTTGATGATATAATCGCATTTCAAAGACCTTATTTTCCTATAAAACAATGAATTAAAAGTATTATCATTTTGTAAAATATTAATATGTTGATAATGTGATATAGTATCATTGATCATCGAACCTGCTCTACGTAATTTAATTACATCTAAATTCTTTAAAATATAAAAAAAAACCATTAGTCTTTACATTTCTTACCATTGTTTTAAATCATTTTAGTGTTGCAATTTTTTATAAATAAAATTTTTAATTTATTTTTAAAAAAATAGATCGCGATAATGCTGCATCGCTAAATATAAAGTTAGTATTATTTAAAGCATAAATTATAATCATCAAAGAACTTTAAATTATAATATTATTAAACGGGTCAAACGGGTCGGTCAATTAGTAGTAAAACCGGTCGGTCAAAGGCCTCTGACCGACCGTTGACCGACCGTTAGCCGACCATGACCAACCGTTACCATCCCTAGTTCTTATAGATATGTTTTTTCCTCATTTAAGAGAATATTTAATAATTCAAAAATTTGGTTTGGGCTCAAACTGCAAATAATATCTTATTTATATTAATTCATAAGAAATAGAAATACACTTAAGAATACCAAATATAATAACCAATTTACCATAATACAGTATTTAGTTTCTGACGTATCAGATGGTTAGTTTATATTTGAATTACGTCAAAGTTACGGAGTTTAGCTCGAAACATTGCAGATTTAACACTTAACCAGTCATGTTTCGTCAAACAGCCTGGCTCAAGACACGAGTACTGCGGCTTTTATATAATTATTAATAATTCTTGGCTGATTTTTATTTTCCCGATGCATAACGACACATGGTGTCATAATATTAATGATTTAAATAATAAAGATACACTGGCAGTGCCACATCGATAAATATATATATATATATACTAAAATACATGGATATTTATGATATTTATTCATAATCAAATATAATTGGAAACTTTTCACCAGTATTTTGATTAACGGCTGTAGCTATAATTTCAACGGCGCCAAAGGTTAAAGTAAATACTATTGTTACATCATCAAGATTTTCATTTTCCGGCAATTCAATAACACATGCGCGAAGCAATGTAACCCCATCATCATGACAATATTTTGCGTTCACTTTTTTTGTGGCATACAAATTAAAACTCATCTTTCGTTGTAATAATGAAAAAGGTTGAAATTTTCTAATAACCTTGTAATTTTCAGTTACTGAATCACCAAGTTTTGCAAGTGTTTCGAAAGCTAAGACATATCCATTTGGTGAAAACGGATCACTTGGTTGCCATCTTCGTACTACATCAGTGCCTAAAAAATTAAAAATTAAAATAAAAAGTGAACGAAAGTTGGAACCATCAAATTATCAAAATACCATATCAAGCGTCGGACATGTCGCATGCAGATCAATTTTATAATTAAATTTGTTTGTGTAACAGTAATTGAAAAATTTGCTTTATAGTTAACCGTTAAACTTTTTAACATATACTGCTTATACAAATTAGGTAATTGATAGAATGTCATAAGTTCTATTC